TTTTTTTTCTGGTACTCTCCGCGTGCCCAGATTATCAGGAAGTCAGGCGGCAGATCATGACCCGTCGCCCAGGAGTTCTCCTCCCTGCACCGCTCGCTCAGCCTCCTGTGACAGCGTGTCAGAGGAGAGGGAGAGCAAACAATGATCGCTGAGTGTTTGTAGATAATTGAGGACATTGTATTTTTACTATATCCTCAATTATGAATGAGTGGGAAGTGATCTACATTACCTCCTGTTCATTCATGATTGTGGTTATAGTAAACACACTATGTCCTCATGTTATGAATGAACAGGAACACTCAGAGAATTCCTGTTCATTGATAACAGGGGCTGCAGAAAAAGAGAGAGGACTTTGTGTCCTCAATTTTTCTATTTTAAAAGGGAAATATCAGGGATCTGTTTAGACCCCTAATATTTCCCCATACCACCCAACAATAAGGTAAAAAATTGTAAAAAATGGATTAAGAAAAAACAGTATTACATTAAAGTTTATAAATAAAATATTAACAAATTTTGGAAAAATAAAAACATTTTCAGTTTCGGCCTGACAATTTTTGTTTTGTTTCGGTTTGGAAATTTCCGTTTCGGTGCACCTCTAGTCATAACCCACGGCTCAGCTCCCTGATTGGAAAGGAAGCTGGCTCCATGCTCCTCCAGCACTTGCGGTCAGAGGGAGTGACCTCCTGGTTTTGTATTGAAGCCATTTTTCACTGACCCAAAACAAGTTGTAAATCTGGCAAGTCAGGAAAAAGTCAGAACTTTTATATGCGTTCTTAGGTCTCCAGCTCTAGAAACAAAGTATTAACGCAAGATGATCAGTAGAGAAGTCAAGCAACTAGGTAAGCAAAAGCATCCTCTGTGTATTTCTCATGACAGGCTTCCTTTAAGCAACATAATTTAATAAGACAAAATAGGGTAGTGCCCAGCTTCCTTGGCACCATTCTTTGCAGCATCACATCGGCTCGAAAATTGCATTTTGTTTATGTATTGTGTTACAAAAAGGTAGTGAGTTATTTTGTTTTGTGTTTTTGGTTTTGTTTAAACAGTATGCTAAAACCAGTGGAAAACTGACACATGCCTCCTCTTTGGGTTACAATGGGGCAATCCTGCAGGCACTGGCAGTGCACTATGCTCTACATGGAGAGCAGAGTCGGGATTCCTTCATCAGCAGTCTCCTGGTTCACATGGTTGAAGTAGAAGCTGATGAGAAATCTAGAAGTGATGCAGTGGAGTAAGTAGATCTCTGAACACTGGGCTCATGTTTGTGTAAAGTGATATTAATTTGTCTTCCAGGTAGATTCTGTAGAGAATTCTGGAAGACATGAATTGTTTATTTTAGCCGAAGACCCATCTGGGACACTCTGTGCTAGATTAGTTTACCTTGAATTCATATTTGGTTTAGAATGATAAACAAACCAAAATCCTTCATATGATACTTTACAGGTCTATTCACAGAAGGGTGAAGAGTTTGGAGAAGGCAGGAGAAGTGAACAATCTAGGACAACATAGCTGAACTGATTAGTGAGCTGAATTGGAGAATTTTTCCAAATCGGCTATTTTTTCCTAGATTGTTCACTTCTCCTGCCTTCTCCAAACTCTTCACCCTTTAGTGAATAACCCTGTTAGTTTTGGGGGATATTCGTTGTCTATGGAATTCAATCTCGCACTTTAGTAGACCTAGATTTGTCGAATAGAACATAGTGTTTGTGTATATTTCTTAACTTTATGACCAACAATCTTAAATCTTCTTTCTGGCACTCCATCCATTGTTTGCTCCCTGATGTCATTACATACAAAGCAGGACAAGCAGTCCTTCATAGTAAATGGGGCCCCTGAGTGCACGCCCTGAAACTGGAGTGTTGGGGGGAGAGGAAAGTGCTGTCTGCTGAGGGAGCAAATGATGAGGGAGGCAAGGCAAAAAAGTGGGGCTGAATGAGCCCCACTTCAAGGGTATTTTTTAAATTTCCTCAAAGTTGAACGTTAAATAAAAACAAAGCCCAGCCCTATAAACAAGCACATCTTTACTTACCTTTCCGGTGGCCCATTTCTTGAAACACCACCACTTCACTGCTCTGCTGCCACTGCAGGTATTTAACCACTTCCGTGTGGGTTGAATTTCTGCTTCCTTTCCCAACGACACATTGTATTTCCTTACGCCGGTTCATACATCAGAGCAGAATGTACAAGCTAATGGGGAACCACTACGTGCAGTGGAGGGGGCAGCTATTTGACCTACCAGGAATGGTTAAATACCTGTAGCGGCTGTGGTGCAGTGAAGCAACGACATTTCAAAACACGAGCCACCAGATAATGTGCTTCTTTACAGGGCTGCCCTTTATCTGTGTATCATTAGGCCCAAAGCACTGTAGTCTTTTTGTTCTATTTAAGCGACTGCAATTCACATTGACAAGTTACCTGTGTTAGAAAAGGGGTTGGGGCATTAACTTACATAGTTAGCTACAGATGCATGTTGTAATAGCCGGACTGGACTGTTGCATACAGCAGCTGGTCGAGTTTTTTTTTCTGCTGGGAGGCAAAAGTTGTTCCCGAGCTAACGAACACCATGATAAGAAGTGTTAATATTGTGAACGCAAAACAAAAATTAAAAATAACTCCGTTCTTATTAGGCTGTATATAATACATTAGGGTAGACTACAAAGCCTAAAACATGTAATATGTGGACCCAAGACATTGCCGAAACAAAAAACGCTCTGTTACTCAGATATTTAGGGAGGAAAAGGCCTGGGGACTGAAGTGGTTAAAGGAGAACTATGGGGTTAGGGCTTTTCACCATAGTTCTCCTAAGGGTAATGGGAGGACACAAACTAGCGTCCTCCCGAGCTACAGCTCGCGGTATACTGAGACGCTGCAGCCGGAACAGATCCCGACAATTATGTCTGGATCCACCCAGCTGCGTGAGTGACAGCTGGCTGTGCCTATCTAGAGGCAGAGCCAGCTGTACCCGCCCACACCCCCGTCTGTTTTGCCAGTCAGCGCTGGAGGATCGGACAGGGGAGGGGGGAATGCCTGCAGGGAGCCATGAGTGACAGTCACGGCTCTCTGCACGGATAGATCGAGAAGTGAGCGAACGCCGGTATGTGTTCTCTCACCTCCCCATCTACTGAGCCGACCTGTGACAGGCTCATTGTCACAGGTCGGCTCAGATTATGAGGCTGAGTGAAAATAACTCGCCTCATAATTCTCCTTTAACTTATTTTACTTTTGTTTTCTTGTGAAATGTTTTTTTGCATTTTTAAAGATTCTTTGATATGATTGTTTATATAAGAAACGTTTTGTCATTACAGATTGGAGCTGGGTGAATTTCCATACTGCAAGAGACTAACGAAGATTAAAGAATTTTTGGCTAAAGAATGTGTGTCACGGGAAGATGTGGTGGAGCATCTGGGTAAAAAGAAGATAAGGCAGTGGGATATCATATGTTATTAAAACAAACCCATTCAATCCTAGGTAGAATAAAGACATGGTGGAGTTATTGCAGAAGGGTTAACAAACAAAGCATTTGGCATCTATGGTTTAACCCATATGGCATTAGTATCTATAGTTCTTTATCAAGCTATTTCTCTTGTTAGTGTCATCCCAGCTGGCAACTCTAGTCAAAACTTTGCTAATATGTAAAATGTGTTCATGATAGCAGGCAGGCTGGGTATAGGATGCAGAATAAGTTATCCACCATTATTTAATTTTTTTCTGTTCTTGTATAAAGCTGTTTTTGGGGTATTGCTTAAGTTCTTGCTGCTGTAGAAATTTTGAGCCTGACGCAAGTTATCCTTGTTGTGGATGGAGGTATCTGTCAGATTTGTTTTCCCGTTAAGCCTTGCAGGGTGATTGAAAAATGACTCTCCATGTGTACCTAGCTTAAGACCTTATCTATTGGCACTTTAAATAGGGGTTACATTTTTTTCTTTGTTTTGGGTTTTTTTTTTTTTTTTTTTTTTAAGGTGAATTAAACTTTGGCTTTGCATTTTTCTGTTTTTTTAGTTTTCACGTTGCATGATCAGAATAATTATTATTTCCATTCACGGGCCACAGGAGGATTTAGCCCATTTTCATTTTTTTTAAAAAGCACTATAAAACGTTTGTGTGATGTTTTAACATGGTGTGCACGGTGAACACATGTATTCAATTTGGTATTCCAAAAATAAAGTAGTACATTTGTGTTAAAGTAGATATACAGTATTGATCTATGGATTATTGAATATATCTGTTCCCATCCTGCTGATGCTTATGGCATTGCTGTGGAGTGCATATATTTCATTGGAAGATCCCCCTTAGTACCAGTACCAGTATCAATGTCACTGCCTCCCTAGTGCATTCTCCATTACCGTATATTGAGAATGCTCTTTAGATTGGGGTATGTTCTGATCACAGCAAAACCCTGGGTTTCATCTCTCCAATGGACAAAAAATCAATCAATCAATCAATCAATCAATCAATCAATCTTGGCCAAAATAGCTGAACTGGAAAGTGAGCTGAATTAGAATTTTTCCAAATCAGCCATTTTGTCCCAGATTGTTCACTTCTCCTGTCTTCTCCAAACTCTTCTCCCTTTAGTGAATAGACCTGTAGATATCTACGCCTTTTGATACTGTAGTTAAAACTTTAACAGTTAAAAAAAATTGCCAGTTTTTGCTTCACTGAGGGATTGTTTCTAGTAAATGTTTAAATATAGCTGTAATTATAATTCTCAGTCAGATGCCAAAATATAATTGTTGATTGGTCTATCCTCAAGGTCATGGAATTGCTGCTTTGGAATCCGTTCCCACTGCTATATACTCTTTCTTGCGCTGCATGGATCCAGTGGAAGACCTTCCCTCAGAATTCAATAGCTTGCAACGCACTCTTGCTTACTGCTTCTTGCTAGGAGGAGACACCGACACAATAGCTACCATGGCTGGAGCCATTGCAGGTGCTTATCACGGAGAGTTGCAAGTTCCTCAAGAGTGGAAGCTTAAATCTGAAGGTTACAAAGATGCCGAAAAGTGGGCTGAAGAACTGCATCAGCTGTACACCTCACGCCTTCCATGCTGAATTCATGAAATGTGTTGCATTACACTGCATTAAATTCTATTCAAAGCAGGAGGAAGACTGCTCCCTAAAATTACAATAATTCTGGTTTGATAAAAAATAAAGTTTTTAACACCTGCTGTGAGTTTTAAATGAATAATGTATAAATATTGATTTGGTAATAACTAATAAGCAATGACTGATGCAAGTGCTGAAAGCCTGATGTGAAAGATTCACAGCACGGACTAGACCTGGCCAGCCAAGGCATTTTACCAAACCTTTTTATTGTATGACTTGTTAGACCTTACCCAAGGAAAGGGTAGCTGTGTTACATACCATTTGGTGGTATTTATCTTTTTTTACTTTAATAAACAATGACATGTTTGGGGTTTTTTTTTCCAGAAAGAAATGTTTAATCTTGTTTTTACACTGCAGAATGATTTGAGTGCTTTTGACTTTGGTTTTAAATCTTAAGACCTGTTGATTTGGCTAAGGTTACTAGCAGCACTCTGGCTGCCCTTAAGTAAGCAGCATGCACAGTGTGGAGAAGATATACGATCACTGTTTCATTTTAGGCTGTGGACAAAAAAAAAAAATGCAGAGCTTGCTTCCAAGTCATACAAAGGAAGATTCTGATCCAGTCTAAACAACATTACCTGGCAGATACACCTTGTTCTGCCTTAATGGAAATAAAACCTCTGAACAGGAATAGCCTTAAATCCACATGATCCTGGAATGATGTATCTATGACCATTAAAGTGTTTTGCTGCTTAGGTGGCCAGCTATAAAACGCTACAAGGTACAGTGCAAAAGCTAAGGTGTCAATGGCTTTCCACTTGCTGGGTGAACTGGCATTTGGCACAACGATTTTCCCTTCTGTCTTTATAATCATAATATTTTATATTTATACAGCGGAATACAAGCTTCTCCACATGAATTTTCTGAGCATTATAGTTATTGGAATCTAAAAGAGACCACTGTATGGCGCTGTATAAATATTTTAAAATTGTGACTTGTCACAAGTGTGGAACTTTTTACTATTAAGCCATCTGAATCCTCTAATTATTTAAACGTAGCCCTTAAATTGTATTTATTGTGTTTGGTTAACTTGGGTTACGCCAAACTTGGGGCCTGATTTGAAAAATTGAGGAAAGAAAAGTGGAATGGTTGCCATTGGCAGCTAACCAAATTTCACCTGAATATATGGAATAATGAAACAAGAACTGTATGGAGCTTTTTGTGTGGGGTTTTTTTTTTCCCTTCTGTTTTAATCAGTTAATTCCATATTACTAAAACCAGTTCAGGACAAAAATGGTGAATAGATGTTTCAGGATTCTCCATAATCCTCTTCGCAAAAAACTATTTAAATAACAAGGCTATCTTTTGGTAGTATGTTTTTCCAATAAAATTAGAAAAAAAAAAATCACTTGGAAGCAATATATATAGAAGGAAGATTGGTGCTTGACTTGAGCCACTCTGTAATGTGTTGCCCCTTTGTGAGAGTAGCACAGTACTTTATGCATCATGGAAAGGTACACTTTGCGTCCTAATCCGTCATACTCAAAAAGATGAAATGTAGGCAGCAACCATATGTGATTCTTCAAAACTCTTATCTTACTTCAAACAGACAGATGCCAATGCATTGAACTGTTATTAACTCAAGCACTGTTTACAGGGTGACCTTTTTTTTTTTTTTGTAGTAGTAGTAGTAAGGAAAGAGAAAGCTGACCTAGAATATCAAGCTATTTGTTTTTTTCAACGATTAGCATTGGATGATTCCCCAGACATCTATTATACACAAACCGTTCTGGTTGAGGCAGCTTGGTATTTGGACATTGCCCCTATTTATACCTCCGTAGAATGCAGGTGTGAACAACTAACCAAATATCACAACTGAACTTTTAACAATACATGGAAGGTATAATAGTATAAAGCTGCCCATACACCATGCGATCATCGGACGAAATTGCGGTAATGGACCGCATGTATTTTCGTCTGCGCATGTGCAGTGTAAATCTTACGAATTTACAAACTTGGATAATGCAGGGGTGCTGTATGTGACACATTTCACTGACTATGTACATGTGACTTGATTAAAATTTTTTACGGAAACTATTTTGACAAACTGAAGCCACTTACTGGAACATAGTGACATAAGATGCATGTAACTAATGTATTGTAGGTTAACTGCTCTCTACTGAGATAACCTATGTGGTTGTAGTGTATGGAGCCCACAGTGGGGTTTTTTTTTTTCCTCACTCCTTTCTTCATTTACCATAGGGAAGTTGAAATCTATTAGATGTTGTCAAGCTTTCCTTCCAAAGTACAGTAATAACATTCGTGGTCGGTCTCGGCAGTGTGGAGCCACAGGAAAGAGGAGATTATTGACCAGCGCTGTAAACAGGTACGATTCTACAGCAAGGCTGTAGGGACCTTACTGGGGACCTCGGCAGCCTTCTTGTTTAATGCGTGCGCTGGCTTCAGTTTTAAAATGTAAAGGTGCAGGAGAGGGGCGAAGGCACATGAAATGGTCTGGTGGGCCAGATTTGGCCAGGGGGTCTTGTGTTTGACACATGCTATAGATGAACTTAAAGAATGAAGAACCCTAGTGCATTCAAAGTAAACCCTTCAGGTTCTCCAAAGTGAAAAGTATATCTAAAGACCAAACAAATATATTTAGTTTTGGATAGAGTAGGAGCCATGGCTTTTTGGCCCTAAGGCCGCAGAAAAATGGCAATCTCATTCCAAATCATGTGAGGCTAGCTGTCAGAGGCAGCAGTGCTTAATCTCACAGTGCAAATATACAGTGGCAAGAAAAAGTATGTGAACCCATTGGAATTAACTGGTTTTCTGCAGTAATTTGCCATAAAATGTCATCTGATCCCAATCTAGGTCACAACAATAGACAGACACAATGTGCTTAAGCTGATAACACACAAACAATTCTAATTGCTCATATCTTTATTGAACACACCCAATAAACATTCACAGTGCTGGAGGAAAACGTAAGTGAACCCTTGGAATTAATAGCTGGTCGAAACTCCTTTTGGCAGTAATGAAGGGCAAGCAATTTCAATAGCTCTGGATAAGACCTGCACAATGTTCAGGAGCAATTGTAGACCAATCCTCTTTACAAAACTGCTTCAACTCAGACACATTTGTAGGATGTCTGGTTTGAACGGCTATATTGAGGTCATTCCACATCATCTCTATTGGGTTAAGGTCTGGGCCACTCCAAAATGTGCATTTTGTTTCTGAAGCCAGTCTGTGGTGGATTTACTTTAATGCTCAGGGTCCTTGTCCTGCTGCATCACCCAACTTCTACTAAGCTTCAGCTGGTTAAAGTCACCCTGACTGTCGAGAAGCCAGAACTAATCTGCGGCTGAGGCTCTGCGGGCGCCTGTGCATGAGCATAGTCTGGCTCACAGAAGTGTGCACAGCCATGTGGCTCTGCGCAGGTCTGTGTGCGTTCATGCTCACTAGTCTGCTCACCGGCATGCCGCAGAAATGTGCACGTGCTCATTATGAGCTGTGGTGCCAAACTGGCTTTTTAAGGCTGTGACATCCAAGCCTCCCATGCTGAGGGATCGACAGCCTTCCTGAGATCCTGCATCTGATTGTCCATCCGTTATCGACCCGCCTTGTTTGACTCTTCTCGCTACTCTGTGCTCCTGTGACCCAAGCCTGTTCCCGACTACCGCTTTTGCCTGCCGCTTGGTACTTCTTCGCTTGCACGTTAATGTCCCCAGCTTGTTCTCGACTTTGCTCCTGTTTGTTGCCTGGTACTGCTCTGCCCGCCTGTTGACGACCCGGCTAGTGTGACTATGGCTTTTCTGAAATCCTGAATCTTCAGTTCTCTGTTCCTGTGCCAGATTCCTACCCGAGACTCACTCACATCGCAGAGACTGACCTTCCCCTGCCACGGTGACATAATCTAGCACTCGTGCTTCTCCGTGTCCCCGCTCACCTGTTCTGCCATCCAGGAGCTCTAGGACTGGAGCTGCTAGGGAGGTCTCCCTCATCAACTAAGAGTCTACCAAGGTATGGGACACTGACATTATCCTGTAGAATATTTTGGGGAACTTTGGGAATTTATTTTCCCCTCTGATGGCATGTGGTCCAGACCCCGAGGCAGCAAAGCAAGCCCAAATCATGATGTTCCCTCCACCATACTTCACCGTTGGGATGATGTTTTGAAATTGATAAGCTGTGCCCTTTTTGTGCCATACATAGTACTGAGTATTCTTCCCAAACAATTAAACTTTTGTTTCATCAGTCCATAAAACATTTTCCCAGTTGTGGTTTGCCAAGGTGCTCTTTGGCAAACTTCATGTGCGCAGCAATGTTTTATTTTTTTTGGAGAGCAGCAGCTTCCGTAGTAATCTGCCATGGACACCTGCCTTTTCAAAGACTTACCTATGGTACACTCTTAAACGGGGATGTTTGCCAGTTCCAGTGATGTCTTCAATCTTTTAGCTGTTACTCGTGGGTTCTTAACCTCATTGAGGATTCCGCATTGTGCCTTGGGAGTCATCTTGGCTGGGCAACAACTTCTAGTAAAAGTAGCCACAGCACTAATCTGTCTCCTTTTATAAAAAAATTGGTCTAACTGTTGACTGATGGATGCCTAAACACTTGGAGACTGCTTTGTATCCCTTTCCAGCCTTATGCATATCAGCTATTCTTGATCGTATGTCTTCAGAGAGCTCCTTTTCTTCTTTTGTGAGGCATAGTTTACATCAGTTGATGCTTCTTATGAACAGCAATCTTAAAATGTTTGTCTTTTATCAATCAAAGTAGATCTAAACAACTCCAAACTCACTACATTAATTGAACTCCAGACATGCAAGCTACTGACTCCAGTTAGCTATCAAAGTAATTAGTCTGTGGGATTACTTTTTCCTCAAGCACTGTGAATATTTAATGTGTGATTTCAATAAAGACACAAGAAATTAGAAATGTTTGTGTGTTATCAGCTTAAAGGAGAACTGTGAGGTGAGTGCTTTTCACTCACCTCATAGTTCTAGCCGACCTGTGACAATGAGACTGTCACAGGTCGGCTCAGTAGATCGGGAGGTGAGCGAACACATACCGGCGTTCGCTCACCTCTCGATCCTGTCACGGCTCTCTGCCGTGACAGGGGATGGGCTGGATTCCCCGCTCCGATCCGCCAGCGCTGACTGGCGGAACGGAGGGGGCGGGTACAGCTGGCTCTGCCTCTAGATAGGCAGAGCCAGCTGTCAGTCATGCAGCTGGGTGGATCCCGGCATAATTGTCGGGATCCGCTTCAGCTGCGGCG